AAGAGTGTTAGGATTTAGAACCCTAGGCCCACCACTTATTAGGAGAATGATCCTGGATGAGTTACCACTTTCTGAGTCTCCGTCTCCTCGTTTAAGTGACAACTGAAAAGGATCTTCTTCACAGGGCTGTGGTATGGAATGAATCAGACATAGCAGGAACTCAAAGAGTCTGCTACTTGAAACTTCTTATCTGTTTTGTTCATTTACTTCTTCCGAGGATGATACCTGGCTGGTATCCAGCAGTGCTCAAGAAATGTCTGTTGAACAAAAGCATATTGCTTTCTGAAACCTTTCCAGCCCACTGACTCTGTTCCAGAAATTTATCAGTTAAGTAACGATAACTGAGCGCTTACAAATTGAGTGCTTACCTGAAGTAAACACCCAGTCTCTGCTCTTAAGAAACAAAAAAATGCTGGAAAATGACAGGTCAACATAAAAGATGTCACAAGACTGTGTATGACTAGTCAACGCACAGTATGAACAATAAGTGTTGTGCATCTAAGGGCAAGACATATCACTGTTGGCTGGATGAACACGGAAGGTGGTGTGGAAAAGGGATAAAACAGACTTTCTCCAACTAATCCACTCTTCTCACACGTAGCCTGAGAGATCTTTACAACTGTCCAACAGGTCACTCCTCTGTTTAAAGCTCATCAAGATGGTACCTCAGGATACCCCAACCTGTTCACGTGATTTACCAGAAGCTTCCTATGTTCTGGCCCCCATTTGGGAACAGCACAGATCAGTAAGGTGGCCCACTAACTACATGTGGCAACTGAGTATGTGAAATGTGTCTAGTCTGAACTGAGATGTCCTGTTAGTGTAAAATACACACTGCATTTCAAAGACTTAGTACCAGAAAAAAAAAAAAAGTAAAACATCTCATTAATAATGTTTATATTGGGACTTCCCTGGTGGTTCAGTGGTTACGAATCCGCCTGCCAATGCAGGGGACACGGGTTCGAGCCCTGGTGGGGTAAGATCCCACATGCCAAGAAGCAACTAAGCCTGTGAGCCACAACTACTGAAGCCCACGCGCCTAGAGCCTATGCTCTGCAACAAGAGAAGCCCGCGCACCGCAACGAAGAGTAGCCCCCGCTGGCGGCAACTAGAGAAAGCCTGTGAGCAGCAACAAAGACCTAACGCGGCCAAAAATAAATAAATAAATATATTTTTAAAAATATAATGTTTATATTGATTTCACGTCAAAATATCACTGTGGACATACTGGATTAAATAAAAATGCATTGTTAAAATTAAATCCACCTATTCTTTTTAACTTCTTAAATATGGCTACTGAAAATCTAAAAACACGTATGCGCCGCGCATTATGTTTCCACTGGACAGTTTCTTTTCCCAGCTCTACATTTCAGCCTGAAGAGACCCCTTACTATGTCTGATTGGGCCCTGTTTACCTGGCCTACGACTCTGTAGATGATACTACTGGCGCCTGAAACGCTTTTTCCTCTTCACCGAGTCTGCCTCTACTCATTCTTCAGACCTTAGTTTTACAACGATGGTTACAGCGATTTCTCCTAGAAGCCTCCCCTGGCCTCACCCCCTAGCCCCGAAAGACTGGACTGGGGTCTCCTCCTACATGCTGGGAACACCCATCCTACAGCACTTATCACACTGCATCTGCAATTGCCTGTTCTCTGGTCTGTCTTCCCGACAAGAATGAAAGCTCCTTGAGGGACCAGAGATCCTCCGAACACGCCTACTCGTCAACGCCGGGCACCGAGGAGCATCAGCTCCGAATAAATGAGGGGTGGTACAAAGATAGTGGATGAACACCGGGACGACCCCGGTTCGGGGGTAAAGGGTGCAGAGAGGTGAGACAGGGACTGGGGGGGCGGGGGGGGGGGGGAGCGCTAGCGGGTAGGCTCGGCCAGCTTGGAGCGGGAGAACGGCAGGAGAGCCTGCAGACTCACCAGTCTCCGGTCAGTGTCGGCGTCCGACCGCTTGGTCGGGGGCGGCGAGTCTTCAGCGTAGCGTAGCCTCTCGCCGGCGGCGACGACGCCGCCACTAGCAGCCATGGCTATGCGGCGCGGGGCACTCGGGACGCCCCCCCGGCCACCA